GACCACTCCAGAAAACACAAATTGTGCCTTAAGAATGATGGAAATCAGTATGTGATGGGAGAACATCCTTTACATTGTCAGCACATTGTTATTCAAATAAGAAGCAATTGTTAAGTTGGCCCTAATTTTTTGCACAAGCTTAAAATATTTGAAAGTATTTAGTGATAAGTTAATGTGAGAGCTAATACAAATAAGCAGGACCACACTTCATTGTGTCAGCGGAAGCAAAGATTTTAAGGAGGAGGAAATTGTAACGTTATGAATCTGAAGTCCTAAGTCCTAAAAATGTGCAACTCTGGGGAAATCTTCGATGGATAAACAGTGAGTCTTCCCACAAAAATGCACATTAGTGCATAGAACAGCATTCCTTGGCTCAAATTAACAAGTCTCACTGACCACAGAAATCTCCCATGTATGCGGACTACTTTCATGGCTTCTATTGTAAGTAGTATATGTTTTCTAGGGGTTATGCTTCCATAGGAAAAAAACACCAGGAAACAGAAACTCGAAAATAATGAATATCAGCCATTTAAGTTATAAATTATCTTGACTATCTTACAGTGAAGGTGTATATATAGAAGAACTACAAATCTCACGAGGAGAGAGAGAATTGAAGAGACAGGAGAAGACAAGGTCTTCAACAACAAAATGCAGGGCATCATTGAGTCCATCACAGCTGTGTTGGACTTGGATGGCCTAAACAATTTTAAATACTACACTGATTTTAAACACATGGTTGAAGTTCAATTGTGAGAAAGTCTATTAATACTTCTTGTGATGCCTACAGTACATTGGAAGCTCTTTGCAAAAAGTAGTAGGTAATTCCTTATGTAGATACAAGCCTTTCTCGATTATCTCAGACCTGTCAACCTACCAGGAGATGGACAATCTGGTTGTACAAATGTCTCTGCCAGGCCAGGAAGGAGTTAACACTCAGTGAAGTCTGAGCTGGCAGAGCCACACTGGTATTCTAGCTGGCTTGTGCAGCTCTATATTGCTGTCAGTATAATTTATATGCACTCTTGCTGACTTTATCTGGGCTGCAAACACAACGATTCTCTTCCTGTCTTAAGTTTGCTGGACAGAAAGATGAGAAGAAATGTGGTTTTTATTAACCATTCTTACGTAGTAGCTCTTTTTTACCTTTTATGTTTATACATTAGTTTACATCCAGAAAGTAAGAATTAGTCAACTTTCCATTTGAAACAGTTGCTTCAGTAGCTACAATTGAATTCACTTAACACCATTTGATGAGGCAGAACTTGGTCTGAGCAGTGACTTGGATCCTTTATGTTAACCTCAAAGTCAAAAGCCTATGAGAATTTAGGTATCTGATATCTCCATAGCATTTATACCTCACCATTTCTAAAACATCCTTACACAGTCTCAGTATTTTAAATTTCCATTCAAAAAACCAATATATAGCTCATTTTCTGTGTGCATCTATCTTCCTATGCACAAAGTCCCTTTCTGCCTGCTCTGAATAATGCAGAAACTTAGAGCTATCTCACTTTTACTTGTGGGGTGGTGGGAAGAGAAGAGAGTTCTCAGAAGAATCACTCTGACAGCAACCACAACTTTTCTAACAAACAAACTGGCAGAGCTTTTCAATACTACTACTAATCTTATCTAAGACTGCACAGCTCTACAAAATCATTGCTTTTGAACTTATGATTCTTCGTATATAATTATCTAGGAGCAAGAACATACTCTAAGAAAATAAATTTTGGTAAATTAAAAGGAATCAGAATAAAAATTGGACACCCAGCAGTTACTAACTAGTTTAGAAATAACATTACTCTTGCAAGAGTATTTGTATTGATGAATTTGATCTCTTAGTAAGAGATAATATACTGGTTTGTACTGGCGGATCCTGAAACAAGCTGGCTGCCAGTAGAGCTCACATCCTCTGATCCCCTCCCACAGGCACTTACATAACCTGAAAAAGATGGACTTACCACTAGCAATGCTCAAGAGGAAGAGAGGAGAGGGGCAAGAGCTTATTAAATAAATTTTAAATTTCCATCCAAAAACTACTCCCATTCCCTGGCTATTCAATTACCATCTTATGCGACTTCTTAGTCACATTTTCTGGCCAAAAGGAAACATTGGAAGCATTTGTTTCAGCAGTGACCAGAAGACACTGGTAACCAGCAGAAAGCAAAATTCTTCCCAAGCTGCTTGGTCTTAGCCAAGGGTTCCCAATTCACATCTCAGAAAGAGCAGTGTCAGTATTTCATGAGCAGTGGACTGACACAGGGTTCCATTATCGTGGCATCTCCTGAGCGGTGGCCACCTCTCCACCAACAGTGATCCCTGAAACAGATTTGGCAGGATTTGGCCTGAAGCCATATCTCGGCCCTGGGCCTTCCCACTCTGCTCAGCAGGAGCAAAACATAGCAAGTGGGATTTTTTTCAAGTCAGATCAACTTGGAAGCAAACTGCCAAATACAGCATGATTTTACCCCATGGATAGGAAAATAATAATAACCATCATCATCATCCTCATCATCATAGTCATAATCATAATGTAATCCACTACTTAATATTTTTAAAAATAATATAACTGTAATTTGAAGTTACCTCTAAAAAACAGCAAAAATTTTAATATATAAAAATCAGAACCACTTCCACTAAAGCAGGATTTGCAGATGAACTTGCTGACATGAGCAGTTTTTATCTCACTGCCCTAGAGCTACAGCAGGACACTGCAAAAAGGACTTTATGGCAGCCAGAGCCAGAATGTGGTTCAGCAATAACATTTTCCTCCCTGTTCAGCTGCTGTGGGTCAGGAACCATGTCTGGGGGTAGGGTGAGAGCACTGAGGAGCTGTGCTGCTCCTCACACCCTGGGCACAGAGTAATTACAACACCTTCCCATGGATCAATCACCCCAACAGGCATGGATTTCCTCTTTGAAACTGCAGCGGCTGTGGTGGTCAGTAAGGAAATCAATTGCCCAGGCAGACAGGAAACTCCTCAAATCCTTCTCTGGGACACTCAGGCTTAAGCCTGAAGCAGTGTCATGCAGGACCGCCACCCACGGCACAGGTGTCACACGCAAAAGGATAAAATGCTAAACACAAAACCACAAACTTTTATAGTGTTTCACATGTGAAGGGTGGGATTTGCGAATCTTGCCCAAGCAACTGTGACTGGCCATTCCCAGTTTGGAGCATCTAAGCAGAGACAGGATTTTTCAGACAAAAGGGGAGCAGCATTGCCCAGGGGGAAAAAAAAAAAATCCAATGGCTCAAAGCAGACAAAAATCAAAGTAGTCAAACTCATAGTCACTAGTGACTGTTTGTTGTGGTCCTGTTCATTGGGCTGGTTTTGGGGTTGGTCTTTTTAATAATTCAAACATTCTCTATGTTAAGAAGCAGAACAAGATTCACTGGAATGCAAAACTCATAGTTACAGGTTTCCCACAGGTCACCAAGCTTGTAACAGGGTCAGAAAAATACCCAAACCTTTGGGATATTTTGATGCACATTATTTCATTAATGCTAACAAAAAGAAATATTATCGATCTCGCAACTGTCAGAGGAAATGAGTCAGAAATACATACTATAAAAGAGATTAAGAAACTATTCATTAGGTTACTACAGTTAATTATTAGAGCTTCTCCATCTACTCAAGAAAACAATTAAATCAGACAAAGTTCATTAATAAAATGAAAATCTCTTTTTGCCCCTCCTACTTAAATATCATATTCATAAGATGGCAGACAGAACTTTGAAAAATCTGGGATATATTTTAAAGTCATCACCTAAAACCTAAAGATTTAATAAATGGCCTTTATTAAGCATACATAAAACCTTGTAAAAGGGAAAAATCCCAAGTGTTTTCCAGTAAGTATGTATGTTTGTGTCATGGCTGTAATGAAACATGCATTAAGTATGAAACATATGGTTTCCATTTTGTTGCCCTGGAATCCATCCAAAGACATTTATGTTGTTAGCTTAACTGTTCTCTTTAGCTGAGAAGCTGTGGAAAATATCTCATCTGAAAAAAATCTGTACCTAGTGGATAACTATAGATTTGCTAGATTTTTAGCAGACAACTTTAATAAAAAAGCCTCTGAGATTACTAGACTTTAGCTTTTTAAAATTAGTATATAATTTTCAAACTAAAAACAAATTTGCTTTAAGAGGTACCAGAATCCTTTCAACAGATTATATTGGTAATATTTTCTTTAGTTAACAAATTTGTAGAGGTGTTTATGGCTCTCTTTTGGAACCAGGCCATCTGACCTAACAAGAATGCAGATGGTATCATTACTAAAGCATCATCTCCTTAATTTCATAGAAGAGCACTGAAGATGCTCTGAAGATCACATCTGGCTAATAAGTTGGTTCAGAGGCAAGGTTCATTAAAAATTAGAGAAAAAGAAGATGGCTCTCATTCTGTTATTTTTTAATAATTCCTGGATTTGCCTTGATGCAAAAGTAGGTCAGCCAAGAGCTGGCTAAGAATTTCAAAGTATCTATCATGAATGCTCAGATTCAAATTTTACTTACATTAGTAGAAAATATACTAGAAGGGCTGAAAAAAAGTTCAAAGGCTAAATTTTGCCATGGTATACTTAAAAATTAATCCCTAAATCACAAGGCTTCTAACCTCAGTAACAGACAATCTATTAAACCTTTCATATCTTTGTGCTGTAAACCAATTCATTAAGCCTGCTGTAGTTTTTACAAACCATTGATGAACTTCTGTTTGATGAAGCCAATGGAAAAGAATAAATTGATAAATGCAACGAACAAGATCAGTTTGGAGGCTTTACAATTTCATGCTTCTTTATTTAATTAGTTGAGATTATTTGGGATATGGCAGACAAAAGTCTCCATTTTATTACCTTAATAATCACATGGTTTGAGGACTGTGCTCTCAGCAAAGGGCCCTGCAGCTGGAAAATCCACACTGCCCTTGTTGTGCCACTGTACAAGCTTGTTCACCTTCACAACCCACTGCAAGAATTAGGTGGTTATTTTAACTCACCTTTGCCATCTGTGCTTGGACTCCACTGGCCTTTAAAGCAGAAACTGCCTTCTGAGCAGCTGCTGGGCTGTCAAAGTCAACAAAACCATAACCTGAAAGAGAAAACACCATTTTGTTAACAAGACAGCAACCAGCTTACAAAAAACACTTCACAGCCAACAGTTATGCTACTGGCACGGTTATTTAATACAGTTTTCTTGTTGTTTAAGAGGGACAATTTGAACTCCAGGTCTTCATGCAGTGTCCCCCCCAAAAAAACCTAGCAAAGTTCTTGAACCTTGAACTGGTTGAACCTTGAATCTGCCCTAGTGGAACAAATCCACTTCCATGTCCACTCATTATAAGAATTTGGCCAAACTGCTAACAAGCAGTACAGTGCTTTGCTTTGTATTATCTGGTATGTAACCTCTAACAGCAGATTATTTCAGAGATCACCAAATAAAGCATCATCTGTTAATTTTTATGAAGTAAATTCTTATTGCAGTTTGAATAAATGACAAGTAAGTGTGTAAGATACTTTTTGCTTATTCAAAATTGGGAGAGAAATTTAGTTTGAAGGACACACATCTACCCTTATTTTGGTAAATTACTTTTCTCACTGTACATACATAAAAGACAGTTAAATTTAAAAGTGAGTGAAAATCCACCTTCAGTGAAACCAAATGGTTTTCCCTATTATTGACAGAATGTGAAAAACTGTCCTGAAAGCATTTTCTATGCCATATATGCAATCTTTAAATATTAAAATAAGCTCAACATCAATTGAAACAAATTCCATATATTTGCAATAACAGCTTTTCTTATTCTGAATAAGAAAACGTAACTAAGGGATTCCAGGATGTCCACATTGCAATATACCCTGGCCTTAACAGACACTGACCTTACAGGCTGGGATTTTTAATCCAGCCTGGGAATTGGAGGCACAAGGCTCACCAAAAGGCAGTCAGAGTTTGGAAGCTATTTCCACTAGATGCTATTGCAAACCTCATTATGCATTTTTCAATCCCCCTCTTTGCCACCAGTGAGCTGTCCAAGTACTAATAAAATCCCTTTCCAGAGTCAAAGTTGGGGTAAAAGAAAACAAACAAACAAAAAAAACCCCCACAATGAAATAACCTCTGGAGGAGTAAAAAATGGAAATATTTCTTCAAAATATATTACAATCCTCTTACAAGCTATCTATACTGAGAAAAGGTTGTCTAATGTTATGAGTGAACAAGCTTTTAAGCTCTTAACTCAGGAAAAACAACTAAAGCATCCTTATACATCAGTGCAAGCTTATTTATGCTGCCAAGAAGCTGAAGAAAGCAGCATATTGTTTTGTGTAACACGTGGTGGTGTGGATTGTTAAATCCTGACATGAAACAAAGTGAATTAGTTCATATCAAGCTTTGTGCTGCCAAGGCAAGACTAACTTCCCATACCCCAAACTAGCTCTCCACACCCATGGCAGCCTGGGTTATCACCAACACGCTGCAGGGTGTAACACAGACAAAGTTACACACTGACACCAAGCATGCCATCAAAGCTGGCTTTGCCACCTTCCAGATGATATAGAAACTCAATTGCTCCTTGTCCCAGTTAGTTTAAACCCTATGGTGTGTTTTTTGGCAAAAGCCAGAGATGCTGTCAATCTTTTGGTTAAATTCCAGTTAGATATTTACATTCTGCCTACTTATGTTCCCACTGCAATTTCAGCGACACGCAGAGAGCTTCCCTGGAGCCTTACCTTGCAGTGTACTGTCACAACAGGCTGCTAGCTACTGCTTTTCATCAGTGAGATTTAAATCCTGTATTGAAAAGCCATCTTAAATCTCTTAAAGAATTAATGTGAGAATTTCTGTATCTCTGAAAGGACTACTGAACAGTTCAGGAACGGACAGAATGGACAAGCTAAATCCGGTAAGTGCAATCATAGGCATTAACTAATTAAAATAATTGAAAAGGGCATATCCTCTTTCCTAGTCACAATGACATCTGCATACAAGCTAGGAAAAAATTTTCTAGAATTTTCAGTTTCTGAACTGTCAGTGCCTCTTCAATTTGCTTAAGATGGCGAGTTGAGAAGCTGTGTCCTGCACTGCTTCCAAGTTCTGCACAAAAGCTTTGTCTTAATTAATGATGAACTGTCCTTCCTCTGCCTATCAGCTTTCTGCTTGTTATGGGCATTATGTTTATTAACACTGCTCAATCAGCTGACTTAATATTTCACTTTGCTTAGGAAATATTCTCTTGTAAAAAATTAAAATCTGAAATCTGGTATTTCAGTGTCTGCTACCACATCTTCTCCCACCACAAGCATGCTGGGATCTGTATCACTGCAATTGCAGTGAGGGGTGAAAATCCATGAACTGATATATTCCGCTTATCTAGAAGAGTTCTAATTTTTTTTTTTTCCAGCTGCAATTACTTCATTGAAAATGAACCCTCTCTTTGCTCCCAATACATTCAATAGAATATAACAAAACACAATTAGAGTACTGGAACATGTAATTAAGTGCTGCTTCAAGATACATTAATCAATGGAGCTTATTTCCACAATGTGTAATTTTTTAAGATGCTTAGTTTAGTTGAATGGTCATCTGCAAGCTTCCCCAGTTTCTCCAGGCAAAAGGGGAAAAGCTGCTTTTAACTCCATTTTTGTTTTTAAAATAGAGGCGAGCTGCCAGCCAGCACTGTGCTTGTCAGCTCCACTCTGGCTTGGCTGTGCCACGGACACCGGCTGTCTGCCAGCTCCACTGGAGGCAAATGCATTGAATACACCAACCACCAGCAAGAATAAAACTCACTTAGGAGCAAGAATGGGCAAAAAACCCCAAACCAAACCAACAAAGGTAAAATCAACTTAAAATACAATACCAACACACTTTATAGAATAGTTATGACTTTCAGAGGAACACAGTATAAAGGAAAATATACATACCTTTGCATTTGTTTGTAGTCTTGTCCAAAATAGCCTTCGTGGATACAATTTTTCCATACCTAAAATGTATTATACATGTGTAAGGAAAATGAGAAAAAAACATCCTATTATAACAAACACACAAATCACTTTATTTTATATCGTAGTACCCTTTGCTCTATGCAAAATGAAACAATTTATATAGACTATAATTATGGAAATGCAAACTCATACATAGATGGAAGTGACAAAAAAATCAACAATTTCAAGCACAATCTTGTTCAATATTCTCAGTGGCACCACATAATAAGCCAGAAAACAATGCTTTGTAGAAAAGAATTGCAGGCAGTTAAAATCCTGGTATGTATAAGACATCATATTATAGATATAAGCTGGGACTCTCTCAGTGTATAGACCAGTTAAAGCAGACCAGTTTCCTTGTCAGTGCTAGGCTTGCTCACTAGCACAGTACGGAAAGAGGAAAAAAAAAAAAAAGGGAGAAAAACCCAGCAAAAACCCAACTGACAAAATCAAAAATATTACATCTGATTTAATATTATCCTGTTCTGGAATGTCACAAGTGGAAGCTGGAATGTGACTAATGAAAGCTCATCAACAAAGTCGGCAAAAAAAATCTGTACATTTCTGTAAATATAAGCAATTTCAACTAAAACAAAAACACCCCTCAGAAAAGTTTCAAGTTTCTTTTTCTTATTGCCAGTTTCTCAGCTTCTCAGTACCTGGTAAGCCCAGTCTGCTATGCAGCCCAAAGGTGAGCACACAGAGATCTCAGCAACTAAGCTTGGGAAACAGATGGACAGCAATCCCAGGTATAAGAACACTGAAGCACTCTGAGAAGTTTATCAGAATTAGGTATCTTGATCATTTTTAGAGTAGAATTTGTTCCAGGGTGCTTGTACCCAGCACGACATTTGACAGCCATCATTGTCCATATCCTATCAGGCTCCCTAAAAGTTCTTAAAGTGAAGAGTTACATGGCCTTTTGTGGGAAAAAAATCCCTGAAGGATGATCTTGTCTCTGCTACTGTGTCAGTTCCTGAAAGTGCAGAAAGTGGTGGTGGTGAAGAGCCACAACCCTGGTGTTTCTGTGAGCACAGTGACCTGGCCAGCTGGCTGGGGGCTGCCTTGCTCTGCTCCAGCCCATGAACAGGTCTCTGCACATCTGTTCTTTACAGAAACTTTGTGGACCACCTTCCAGTGTGCAAAGATGGCTTAGTGATTTATGGCACCATCCTAGATAGCACGGCACCTGCAAAGAACCAGCCACCATGGAAGGCTGCCAAGAAATTTCAGCAGTGTGAGTCTAGGAGCAAACTGGGAACCTGTATAACAATAGCAGCTATCGCCAGGATTTCTCCTACGATTTTCCCTCATGTATGAGTTGTTCTTCACTCATGCCATGAGGCACAGAAAAGCAGTTCACGCCCCCTGAGCATGGCCAGCAGGATGCACCCCCTTCTTGTTCCCAGCATGTGAACAGATACCAGGGGAATTACTCCTTGCAGTTTCCCCCAAGTGCTTCCTTCAAATTATGACCATTGTGAAAACTTTTCTTCCCCTTGCATTATACAGTCCTGCTTTTAACACAAGCTCCTGTCTTCAACTGCTCATTTATTGGGTGCAACTGCTATCAAGATCCTGCAGAAATCAATGAGCTATAAAACACATCAGTCATGATACAAACTGGTATGCTTTGCCTGCTTACAAAAAGGATTATAGCAAGCAAGAGAAAATTTGTATTCCAAAGCTGCCTATGACATTAGGTCTTGCCTGAAGATCCTAACTCCTCTCAAAGCCTATATACTTCCAGTTGTCTAAGGCACTTGCTGAGGGTTCTCTCCTGCTCCACAGCCTTACTGCATGCTTGGTGAGATTTTGTACCTACAGCAAAGCACTGTTCCATGGCTAGCAGAATCACTTCTACAGCAATTGGTGTTTGGTCATTCCCTCTCAGCTGAAACAGTTTTTTAAAACATGCTTTCTTTTAAATTAAGTACTAGTCTTTAGAAATAACTGCTAATCTGGCTGGTGACAAGCAAGTAGGTATTTCTTATTAAGCAAGTTATTTTTCTCCCCAAAATAACATCAAACTCATGCTCAACAGCAATAGAGAGCTCCCTTTTTTTTTTCTTTTGAGTGCTATTAACACATTCCTCAGTCTGAATTATGTTTGGAGATGGAAAGATGTTTTCAGCTTTGCATCTCTTTTCTATACAGTACTTGTACCAAGATCAACTCACACATTGAGAAAGAGAGGGCTTGGGTAAGAGGCAGGTAAATAATTGCCAGGGTGCACTGGGTATGGGATTAACAGGGGTGGGCTCAGTAACTGCCTGTGACCCAGTGTATGAGATACAGCTGTGGTACAGAACACCAATACAAATGTCTGGCTGGATAGAAGATAAAGAAGAAACATGTTCAAAGCCAAGCTAGGAAGAAATACAGTACAGCTGCTTAACAGGATAATGTTTACTACTGCTAATTACATCCTCACAGCGCAGAAATGAAAAAAATAACCCTCACCTGGCTCATGCTGCCCCAAAATCTACTGCCAGTCAATAAGAATGTCAAACACTGCACTATACCTTTGTCTTACATACTTTTGGAGTGGAAGACTTGAAGTGAAGCACCACCACATAATTTTTTTAAATCATATTGTTCAGCAACACGGTCAAAACCAGTGCAAACAATCATCCTGACAGATTCACTGCAAATAGCTAGGGATACATTTGACATTTAAAACATCTCTGAAGCCTAATTTTGGCAACCTCCACAATGCCGAAAGAAAAGGGTCTTTAGAAAATCAAATACATGAATCAACCTGAACCACTATTTATTTTTCTCCCCTTGTACATCTGGCAGTATGATGAACATATGTGGAAATGTGAGCATGAAAAGATGCTATCATGAGCATGACAAAGAATGGGGAATGAAGTAGCTTGAAGTCTCTGCCCCAAGTGTTGTTTTGAGTGTTGAAAGAACTTATCTGTGTGTGCATTAGGGGAGGTACAGTAAGAACAGGCAGCGAGAGGCTTGATAAGGTTTGTCTGGAATGAATTGTTCAAATCTGTGTCCACAACATAATGTAATATACCTCATACCACCATGCTTACAGCGCTTCCCTTTGTCATACTTTCAACCTGTCTTCCAGCTTTTGCTGTGAAGGATTTCTCCATGACAAGATATTGACTTGGACAAAAATATGCCAGAAGGATCTCTGCTACCACGGAAAGTCCTTGCCTTTAGATGTCGCTTAGGTCCTCCATCCTGAACTGTCCAGAACTTCGTGTTGAAGATGAGCAGTGATCTCCCTTTGCCTAAATCCAGTCCAGATATAAAAGAACATTCCTAGAGATACTGCTGTTACAGTTTGCATTACTGTAGAGCTGCCAAAACTCCTCTGATATACAGAAATGCTGCATATCTTCTGTGTTTGTTCTAGATTAATTACATCTTAGAATCTTATCACTGCCTTCATGGAATGCTCTTATTTTTAAGATCCAGAATGGTGCAGTAAAACCAGACATGGATTTCATAACTTGTAAGTGGCTCCAAGTACATGAATTAACTTAAAGGTGGAATTGTGAAAGGAAAGAGAACCTGGCTGAAGACAAAACATTCTGACAGGAGGCTAATATTCACACCAGGTGACTCAAAGACTGAAGAGAGCACAACAGGCAGATCTGGCAAGGAGTGTCACATAAGAAAGCAGATCAATCAATCCTAAAATAAAATGCAGCTGCTGAATACATCCACATCAAAACAAATTGTAATTTGTTACTAGGGTAAGTAACTAGATGAAAATGCATAAAGCAAATACTTCATAAGCAATTCCTATATATTAATTGTAACACTAAAAAGAAAAAGCAGGTGGGCCTGCTTAGTCTGTAAATCATCTTTAAAAATTAAAGACAACAGCAAAAACCAAAAAAATATTTCTTACTCAGGATGGCCTTATTCACCATACAGCACGGTCAGTGGGTACCTTGCATGTACTCTAAAAGCAGCAAATTCTTGTTTGAAATGAAATCATGTTGTCTTTCAGTATGACCTCAAATCAATGCACACAAGAAAGATGGACTTTGGCAAATCAGTGATGTGCAAATTTTAAGATACTCACCTCCCCAAACACCGAGTATTCTGTTTTGAACACAGTGACTCAAAACATTTATATGCAACTGATTGTCTTCCTAGCCAGGCCCACACCACCATCCATCCTGCTTGTGGGGTGGAAGCCATTACATTCATCTCAGTTGAGACCTGATGAGGAAAACCCTAACAGCCCATGGGAAGGTCTAATCCCTGCTGGAGCTCCCAGTTCCTCTCTAACACCTGGTACAGAAGGAGCAAAGAAAATTCCTTGGGTCTGAGAAAAAGAGCCAAGGGAGCTGTCAGCAAGAGCTCACTTGGTACAGCTCACTCCTGTTCCACGTTGGTCTTCCCATGTTCAGGGCATTTCTAAGCCAACAGCACAGCCAAGGGAACATGATCAGCCCCATCAATCTTTTCTCCTGGATCCAAAACCCAAGCATAAAAAGTTTTATCTGGCTCCCATACCTCTACCTCTCTGCTGCATTTTGGGAAAGCGGTGTACTGAACCTTAAGCTCTTGGTCCCTTTTAAGCTTAGAAAAACACAGGGAGTTTTTGTTTCTCTATGTATCAAATTTTCAATTTTTCAGTATGGGGAATTTCGGATAATAGTTGTCAATACAACACTACTAGTCCTTGCGTAGACAACTCTGATCCCACTTTAGTTATGGGTAAATGTTTCTTACAAAAACTTGATAAAGAAATTTATTCAATCCAGCAGAAGACTGAGTTTCAAGAACAGAATCAAACCATATGGTTTCCATTTTTAAATTCTTCTTCACCACATCTATGCTGTCGTTCAGAAGGAAACATTGCTGAGAACATTTTGTCCGTATTTTGTTTTCTGTTGTTGGAAGACACACTGTTCTTTGAGAAACTCTTTGGAACACTCAGTTGCTTCAAGGCCATCATGCAGCTAAAGGTTTTCTAACAGAACATAATAAGCATCTACCACCAAAAGCTGGACCA